TATAAATAAAAAAGAAGAGGAGAGTCCAAGAGATGTATATATATCTTGAATCACTTATGAAGAAAAGATAGATAGATAGATAGATAGATAGATAGATAGATAGATAGATAGATAGATAGATAGATAGATAGATAGACGGATAGATCTGGGATATAAAAGGAAAACACATTATTGGTGCTCATGCAGTACGAACTGGCAATTACTTGAAACTGGACCCATCGTTGGGATATTCTGCTGCACAGTATATCAATCAAGCCAACTATAATATCTTTTGCATGTGCACCTTCAAATCAGTTTTTGACTCCTGACAACTGCCTGGACTAGTCCCTGAAGTTTTCTTGGTGAGATTTTTCATAAGTGGTTTACCCTTGCCTTCTTCTTCCCAGGGCTGAGAGGGAAGGAGAGGCCCAAGGTCACGCAGCTGGCTTTGTACCTAAGGAAGGACTAACTCACAGTCTCCCAATTTCTAGCCCGGTGCCTTAACCACCACACCGAACTAGCTCTCACATAGCATCTTTCAGACATCAGAAAAAAAGAAATCTGAATGTATGAGATTCAGATATTTAAATATCTGTTAAAACTGTTAAAATGTTAGTTGTTTGCATTTTAACAATTATTTTTACAGCTGCTGAGATAATGGAATGTGATATAAAACCAGGAAGGAAGGCAGGTATGCAGGTAGACTCCTGAATACATTTTCTACCAAGCTATTACTGTGGCAGTTGCCACTTTTCACTGACCCTGTTTGTATAACATACTTAGCTGGATCAATGTTGGGGTAAGCACCTCTGGCAGACACCATTGCTCAAGCAGCAATGGGGCAGCAGAAGTGTTATTTTTAATTCAAAACAGGATATATATCTTCAGCTCTTTGTGAGAAGACTAGATATGAATAATGTGCCACTTAATCGGGGTTATATGATATGGCTGAGTGGGCTTAACTCTATGCAGGATCAAACTCTTGTGGGCTAAATATAACCATCTGGAAATTAAATTGTCAATTTACTCATGTTCCCACAACACACTATTCCCTCTTGACCCAGTAAAGCATATTGTGGGAACAGGGATATAAGACATCTGAAAAAGCTCCTCAGTGTGGAACTCAATTCCATTCTTCCCCCAGCACTCACCAAAAATATCTCCCTGTTATAATTTTTTCTTGGTATTTGCCTTCCAGGAGCCCCCTGGAAGGTAAACTGCTCTCAACTCCACCTTTAACTTCCCAAAATCCCTGAAAAATGACTCAACAAAATTTTGGGGTTGGGTGGTGGTTAAGGGAGGGGATGGAAGCACTTTGCCTCCCAGAAGCCTCCTTCTTTCATCCTCACCCTTTCATTCTTAATATAAATATATAAATAAGATAAAAAATGTCAGCTCCGATCCTTCAGGAAAGGTTTCCATATTTCTGCAAGGCCCTCCAAAAGATCAAGAGGCTGAACTCTGGCTCCTTAATTCCTCAGATGTTACACACTACTGCCTTAGAACAAGTCAGACCATTTCATCCATCTAAGTTAAGGTTGCCTACACAAATCTATAAGGATATTCTAGAGTCTCAGGTTGAAATACCATCTTTGAACTGATCTTTTTAAAATGCCAATAGAACCAGGAACTTCGACGTTCTACAACTGATTTCTTCTTCCCACTGTCCTGGTATCTTTGTGCATGATAACTTATGATTAACTGAACTTGTTTCCAGAGGAGTCAAATCAAAGCTCCCAAGATAGATAGATACATAGACAGACAGGTGCATACACACACTTACATGCACTACTCCTACCCTTTCTTTCAAGTAAAGGCTGCAAAGAAGGCCACTTCTTAGTCTAAGTAGATATATATGAGTCCAGGTCCAGGTCCTTGTGTCTATATGTGCATCCATGTGTATGTGTATGGGTTGTATGTGTGTTTGGGTGTATGTTTCAGATCATTGTTAGGTAGGCCTCTAGATCTGATCTTCGGTATTTCCTAGGTATTCTGTATTTAAAGCAGCACTCTTCTCTCTAATGACAGCTAAACAAATGCCTTTGGGAAGATCAGAACAAGATTGAGATACACATCACCTCCTGTCATTTTCCTTCAGTATTGTTCTCATATTTTTCCTAAAGTCTTTAAGATGTCATGGAACTTTTTGTTGTTGCTCCTAAAAGATTTCCCATGTCATGAATCATTGCCTCTTTGGCCAAAGTCAACTGAAGTTTGATTCAACTGACATCTGTCTGCTAAGCAACTTCCCACCATTGTTTGCACAGTGACAATAGTTGGAATTTTCCCCTGCCATCTCACAGTCCACAAATGAGATGGTCAATGAACGGGTATTTCAGGTCAGTCCATGCTATTATTAGTGATGTCACAGAACTTCACAATTAGGTGCAATTTAGTGTACATATATACATTCTAAATAATGTTCCTCCCTAGTGGAACCATGAAGGAAAGATTTAAGACAATTACATTTTAGTGTTTTAAAGTTAATGTTCAGTTCAAAAACTGCCATTTTCCCCCAAAGTTGTGACTGACCTTATCAAGACCAAGATTTTTAGGCAGAATACATTTTGCAAAATTATCATCATCTTCATCCTCATGTTTTTCAACCAATGACTGTATCACTTCAGAGATAAATCTTCTTTGAGATAAGAGCGGAATCTTACTTTCTCAAAAAGTATTTTCAGCTTAACATAAACATTTGATTGTATCAAACAATAGTACTTTAAACTTCAGAATTCTAGGATCCTGGAAATCTCTTTGTTATGAGGCAAAAGAGGAATTTACGTGAGTGACCTGTTTTTCATTTGTAATTTTTCCCCCGTGGGCTTCAGCCTCTTTGTGTATGTGCACTTAAAATATCTCCAGCCATTTCCCCATCTTTTGTAAACATTATACCAAGGTACACAGTTTCATCTATTAGCTTTAGTTTTTCATCATTTATGTATAGTTTGCAATCATTTGCTCCATTTCCCCTGTCAAACGTAACTACTTTGATCAGTCATATATTAATTTTCAGTTCCCTACTCACTGCATTATGCAATCTAGCATTTGCTGCAAATTATTTGGGTTCTTAGCCAGCAACATGGCATCATCTGTATTCAAAAGCAAACATACATTTATGTCCTCAACCAAAACACTCCTGATATCACCACAGGTATCCTTATACATTTAATCATAAATACATTAAACAACTAAGGGAGATCATACACTCATTCCCTGTTCAGTGCTGAACCATTCACTAAGCATTTACTCTCACACATACTTTGCTCTATTATATATTACTCTTATTCCATTTGCCGGTTCCCCCCAAAGTTGTGACTGACCTTATCAAGACCAAGATTTAGTATCAATTTAGTAACAGCAACCAACTTTCAACTACATATCTGCACAAAACATTCCATAATTCAGGTTTGCTATTTTTCTTCATGCTAACCACTTTTTAATATCTGTAATAAAAACCTGATCAAGAGCTATATCCCTGAATCCCTGTCTGTGAGCTTTCTAGTATGATCTGTGAGAAGCCTGACACCAATGTACAAATTCTTATTTTCATAGGCACCCACAACAAACTTAGGTGACCCCAATTCATACTTTCTGACATACATTTTAGACCCTTCATCCATAATTAAGTCAACACCCCTTCATACATTTCTCTACAAAATTTCATTTTCTGAATGCCTTGAGATTCTATCACTTCCTCCAAAGTATGCAAAAAATATCCTCCCATTGTCAGGAAGTGATCCAATTCACTACCATACTAGCTCATATACAACATCTGAATGCAATTATTATAAAGCTTCTGCAGTGTTAGAATTTTAAGAGTCAGGAGGGGACATTTATCTTTCAAACCCAACTCCTTGCTTAATGCAGGAGACCAAATTAAAGAATTCAGGACAGATGACCGCCCAGCATCTGCTTGATCACAACCAAAGAAGATGAGTGAATCATCCCTCTCAGTAATTAACATGATCAAATGGAGAAGGCAAACCCTGTCATCTTGTCACAAATTGTCACAACCCACACAATTGGACTATATTTGTGACTGATAATCCAAGAATCAGATAAGGTTTTAGATACATGTAGAGTTTTTCATGGGGAGGGGGAAGTAGAAATGATCTAAGGAACTGTAGGAAGTTCCTTAGAGAAAGAAGAAGTTGGAGGAAAAATAGTTAGAATTAGCTAGTCATGAGAGCTTACCAGCTAAATTTTAATTAAAGCCCTTGATTAACTGTCAACTGTTATTATTCTTCCCAACCTTCAACAGAAATTTGCTTTTATATAACTAAAGGCCATTATTCCGCACACTCTGGGTAAGAAAATAAATCATGGCCTTTTAGTGAACTGGAGAAGTGCTATCATATTCATTCTCAGTCTTCTTTTGTTAACATTAAACATACCCAGTTCCTTTAATTACTCCACATAGGACTTTTCAGTTCACTGATCAACTGCAGTGCACCTCTTCTGATTTGCCTCATTCTTCCGTTACAGTGGTACCCAGATTTGGACTCAACACTTAAAGTGGGGGAGTAGAGTAGAATGATTACTTTCGACGATTTGGAATTTGGAAACTAAATTTCTGTGAAACTGCCCAAATTGTACTAGACTGTTTACCAGCCGTGTCGCTCTGCTGATTCAAACCTCATTCTCTTATCTCATGTTAATTTTACAGTCTCCAACCGGCAAGCTGTCTCTGCTTTTCAAGCTGAAATATTCCATTCATCAACTGATTCTTTAGGCGCATTTACACCTGAGAATTAGCCTGCTGTGAAAAGACTTCCAGAGGCAGTGTGATTTTAATTGTCTCTCATAATGCTTTGGAAAGAAAGATGTGAATTAATCCACTGATAAAGAAAGACATAGTAGCGGTCACTCACCACCAATGTTGCCTCTCATTTCTGATATGCCACGTGCAGGAAGAAAATTGTTCAGCTTTTCCCAAACCAAGTACAAATTTGTCTGTCACCATAAGACTATTCAAGTAAATTGCAAACACAGGTAGGAGTGGCATGTTAAAATGTTTACATATTTCTTAGTTAAACTATAGAAATTAGAAAGTACAATAGTATATCACATATCCTCTTAAAAGTTCTGCTTTGAAAACATTGTTGACACCTGGCAACGCCCCCCTGCCATTCTCTTGGCAGCATTTTTCAGAAATGGCTTGCCATTGCCTTCTTAGGGCAGAGAGAAGTGACTGGTCCAAGGTCGCCCAGCTGGCTTCGTGACTAAGGCAGAACTAG